TATATATATATATTTCTATTAGATATGTACAAATTTTAAATTTAGAAGCTAAAAATTCAAACGGTCTGTAAATTCAGTGACAATTCTGAACTCGTAAAATTCAAATTATGAAACTACCTCTGCTAACACATACTCCCTCTGGTCCACAATAAGTGACCATTTTACCTTTTCATTTTGGTCCAAAATAAGTGTCTGTTTACATAATCAAGAATGAATTAATTTTATTTTTCTAAAGTTTATCCTTATTTACATATTTCAATGTGTCAAGGTAATAATTATTTAAAGTTAATTTAATGAATACATCTATTAAATCTCTTGGAGCTCGTATTTTCTTAATGGGTATGTCAAAGGTAAAATGATCGCTTGTTATGGACCGCATGGAGTATTAATTTAGTGGGGCTAAACAAAACATGCGCTTTATTTTAGTACTAGTACCAATTCAGAACATAGAATTTGCTCTTTTTAGTTGAAGAAAATAGTCAATCATTGGTCTTTAATACTCCTAATAATAGTTACCTTAAAGTCTACTCCATCCGTTCACTTTTATTTGGCACGTTTTGACTTTTCATGCCCCTTAAAAAATAATAAATGAAGTGCATAATTTACCATGATATCCATATTAATTGATGCATATTTTATTGGATTTGGGAAAATGATTTGAAATGAGTAATAAATATTGTGGGTCTTCTCTTTATATGCGTAAAGTAAAATAAAAATAAAAATTTATTTTTAGTATACATGTCAAATAAAAGTAAACGAGAGTACATTTGAGGTCATTCTATTTTTAGCTAGACCTAAAATTGGGGCCTAACTATACCTTAGGCCACGTCACTTCTTGGTCTTTACACAGAAAATTTGGAATAAGGGGAGTTTGCTTTATTTAGTTATACCTGAAGTACAAATTGTTTTTTTTTTAGAAGTTTAGTTTCGAATAAAAATTTAGGGTACTAAAATAGTATTAAGTGAAGTATTCAAACTATTCTCGATATGTTTAACACACTCTAATAATTATTTCATCAATAAAATTAATTATCGACAGATATAGGATAAATTCTGTAGGTTCAGTTGAATTTATTATTTTTTACTTTTATTATGTATACATATGTTAAAAATTACGGTTATTTACTACTGATCCTAAATCCTGAATTTCCAAAGAGTTTGTCCTACACGAAAATACGAACATTTTAATAATGGCATTTAAATTTCATTTTGAAGGGTCATTATCATCTGATATGTTATATGAAAGTGTATAGGTGGTCGATTCAACATTAAATATGGTATTATACATGCTTTTATAATATTGTTGGTAACTTGTCCTTTGGATGCATCGTTAGATAAGACAGCAACTAATTTAAATATATTATTACACGGAAAACATTATTTATTTAGACTAACTAAGTTTTTTTCCAATTGAATCATTAGATAATTTTAGATTAAGTTGACAATTATGATGAAAAAAAGGTAGTCCTGTGCACAATATATTTCGTATTTACGCAGAGTCCGGAGATCGAAAGAACCGTATCCCAAAAATATAACATAGACAGTGTACCATAATATAAGTATTTTTGCTTTTACGGCTCGAACCCGTGACCAACCTATAATACAGCAATGCCTAACCAAAGAGTGAATCCCACCACGACATTCTTGCAAAAAGTCCAAATTTGCAAATTTTGTAGCACCCCCAGACGCCACTTCAACCAATATAGCTTACAACCGACGTAAGAAACATATTACCCCACGAGACGTCACTACAAGTGGTAGGGTGTATATGGACCGGGTTAGTTTAATTTTTATTAAAATTAAATTAAACCAATTATATTGGTTTGGACAGGTTCGGTTTTGTCGGATTTTTTGGATTTTTGTTACATGAATATTATTTCAATCTTACTTTGTTAAATTTTTTATAAGTAAATATATGTTTAGTAAAAATTGAAAAAATTGACATCATATGATTTGTTAACATATTCTTATGGGAAAATTTTCTTAGTAACATATGATAGTTGTTTTTTAGTCGTCTGACAATAATTTTTTGTTGGTGTACACTTTCAAGGTTAACTGAATTTATAAAAATCAATATGATACCTATATAATGATATTTGTTTTATTTAATTTTAAATTATCGAAATAATACTTCAAATCTAAAAAAGAAGTAAAAATTTAATAGATCTTGACATATGAATATGGAAGAACAAAGAGATTGACACATTTCACTAACACTTAATAAAAAATTGATCATACAACCCATTATTTAAAGTTAATAAAAATTGAGCACTTTACATTTAACTAAATATTAGATCCCATAGGAGAATTGCAAATATTTCTATATATATATATATATATATATATATATATATATATATATATGAAAGTGTAGAATTCTTATGAGCATGGTTTCTACATATGAAAGTGCAGAATTTCTGTGAGCATGATTTCTACAGATGAAAGTGCAGAAATAAGCATAATTTCTATATGTGAAAGTGGAGAAATTCAAAGAAAAACTCCTATAGGCAGGATATCTACCCTTATGCATACATAGATAACCCTCCCCTTTTTACTAAAACCCCATAAGTTATTACAAAATTTATTACAGACCAAATGAATCAAACAGAAAATAAAATTACATCAGAGCTTTTAAGCTGCATCCAAGGTGCGTAATTCAGACCCAAGGTCTAACAACATGATATGAGCCAACTGCCGGGATCAAGTTCTAAGGCCTTTCTCTTATCTGGAATGTGTCAAAGTTCCAAGGAGTTTCAAGAACTCCAGGCAATGCTTACACCCAGATATCATTACAGAACTGAATTAAAGTGCAGTATGGAAGGGCCAGCCCTCCAATGCCCAAGTTCAGAGGGAACTCAAGGTCCCAGGGCAAGGCTCATTGGAGGGGGACAGAACATAGAATCCAGGAACAAGTGTGAGTGCAATAGAGGGAATTAAGGGATGCCAAGGCAGGCTGGTGGTCATGCCCAGCAACATCGAATGCTGGCACACCCCTGACCAGCCCACTAGCCAAACATTGGAGAGTCAGGACCTATTGAAGGTCAAACCATGGCCTGGGCAGTAATTGGGATACTGTCAGGCCAAGGTTTCAGCTCAACACATAAAGGGGATTAGGGGTAGGGATTCATATGAGAACAGAAGCAAAGAAAGGACAAATACATAGTATAAGTTACGGAGCATGAATAACAAACCACACAAAAGAATGAGACTATAGAATAAACACATAGGGATGAGGCAAAAGTTTTAATAAAGGCGTACCAGTTTCAGAAAGAGACAAGCAAAAGAGAGCAGAAGTCTTGCAAAGAAGCCACAACACAAACAGCAAGAGAGAATACTTTGTGTGTGAGTGTGAGTTCAGAAAAGACTCCAGTGTTCGTGTTTTTTCTTTTTTGTGTTTCTTTTGGGTGTCAATAAAAGAGCAGGTATTTATAGTGTGAGAAACATGCAGAAATAAGGTAAGGACTGTAATTCAGACATAATTGGAGGAATATGTGTCTTATTAAAATCAAATCAGTATCAAAGACTTCCTTTAAAAAAGCAATTAAACCAAACGGTAGCATGCAAGTGTTAAATAAGGAAAGAAATCACGTAGGGCTGGACATGACAAATAAGGAAATATTTTCAGCACAGTTCGAGTATACCATATGTATTAGGGTTTAAGTTCATTAGACCTTAATTAAGGAAGGGTCTGTAAGAATCCCATACTAATGTAAATAAGGTAATGGGATCAAATCAACTTAAGTAGAAAGGCAGGGTCGAAAGGAAAATATTTCAACAAGTCCAAGAAACAAAGGAAATCAAAACAATAAAGGAAAGAATCAATTCAAGAGTGCAATCAGAATTACACAAAGAGATTTGAAATCAGTCCACAATCAAGGTTATTTTGAGAGGGAAATTTGACCTATAAAGAGTGCATAAACATTAAGCATGCGAGGTTGGATTTAAGACAAAGAAGAGTGTCATGTAATCAAAGAAAATCAGTGAGTAGAGGACCATAGGAACATGGTATTCATCTCAGAGAAGAGGGAATACCAGATAGCATGCGAAAGGTCAAGTAAAGAGGTCAGAATCGTATGAAGAAACAAAGTTGACACAAAGATCTCGAAACTCAGTCGAACAGTAGAGGAAGCAACTTCAGGAACTCAAATAGGTCAAAAGAGACTAGGATTTGAAATCAACACGTTCAGAGACAAGAAACAAACGAATCACATAGAAAATAACCTCAAAAACTACGAAAAGAACCNATATATATATATATATATATATATATATATATATATATATATATATATATATATATATATATATATTTAAATTCTATGAAAAGTCTTAAAATTATATATATAAAAACTATATATTTATTATATGTCGGTTTGGTTCGGATATTTTTACTCAATACCAAATCAAATCAAACCTAGTCGGGTTTTTTACTCGATTCAGTTTGATTTTTCGATTTGGTGCGATTTTCCGTTTCGGTTTGTACAACCCTAAATTACAACTACAAGTGATACAAGCCAGACTACACCACATTCAACGAGTGTTAAATAGGTAATTTTGGGTCAAATTTGAGAGGTTAAACCAGATTAAATCAACTAATCTTGACTATCAAAATTTTGTGTTAATTAAGATGAACATGTCATATCTGACTTTTCCAACTCAAGTTTGCATGGTTGAATGAATTACACTTTTATGCATCAAAGTATAAACTCATACATAAGTCCTACACGAACTATCAACTTTTAATAACATACTAAGCATTCTAAAAATACTACTACGGCCACGACAATAACAACAATAATTATATCTCAGTCTCAAACAAGTTGAGATTGGCTATATGAATCCTTAGTAAACGTGTTTTCTCGATTATAATTCATCTCTGGCAAGCATTATTAATAACAACAAATCAGTGTAATCCCACATCAAAGTATCAACTCATACATAATTCCTACACGAACCATCAACTTTTAATCACATACTGAGCATTCTAAATATTAAGACGACGACGACAATAACAGCAACAACAACAACAACAACAATAAAAGCAATTATACTTCAGTCTCAAATAAATTGAGATCGGTTATATGGATCCTCAGTGAACATGTAGTTCCGATTAAAATTCATCTCAGGCAAGCATTATCAACAACAACAATAAATCCAGTATAATCTCATAGGTGGGTTTGAGGAAGGTGGTGTATTACGCGGACCATACCCCTACCTTGAGAAGGTAGAGATGTTATTTCTGATAGACCAAGAAAAGATGAAAAAAAGAAGCAGTAGCAACAACAAGAAAATAATATAACCGAAGCTAAAGAAACAACAAGTAGTAATAGTAATCTAAGAATTAAAAAAATATAAAACTAACACTAATACTACTAGTGGGGAAAATAAAAACGCTCGACTACCTACTAACCTTCTACCCTAATTAATTCTCGACCTCCACACCCTCTTATCAGGCAGACATTATACAAATAAAAATTAAGAGCATTAAAAATTCTTTATCTTTCCTATTGGCATAAAAAAATTATTACAAAAATACTAAAATATGAAAAGATTATTATTATTTATTTTTTTGGCAAAAAATGGAACAACAAGAGAGGAAAAGAAAAGTAGGTACCAGCCAGTAATCCAAGAAGCAAATGGGCCGAAGTAGTTTCCAGACAATTTAGCACTCCAATAGTAAAGCCCAGCTGAAGTTGGATAAGCTGAACATATTTCAGCCAAGGCCAGGCCCACAATAATTGTCATTAACCCAACTATGGGCCAACCGTAAACAAGAGTTATAGGCCCACCAAAAGTTAAGGCCTGGTTGTATAATGTGGATATGCCCGTAAGAACTGATACTATGGTGAATGTAATAGAGAAGTTGGCAATGAACCTGTTCAGACAGATATCTCGAGAATTTAGATCATCTCGAAATTTCATAAATTATTAACAAAGATATAAAATTCTTCAAGGAAGTTTATATCATTCTACGTTTGAGAAATACGCTGCTTAAAGCTATTGAAATTTGAATCATGGAGAATAATCCGAAGAGCAAACACAATTGTACCCACAAATTCATCAATACTTTTCTCTTTAAGAAAAAAACATATTCAAACAGATCCGACATTAGGTGAATTTTTCTAATTTGCATAAATTTCTATGGATAAAATTACTCAAAACATGTGTTAGTAAAAAGTAGTAAGTGGTCTGTAGGTTAGTTGAGAGGCGCACAAGTTGATCTGAAATACCTGTTAATAAATAAATCAAAACAAATAAAGAAGAAACTATAGACAAATTAGATTTACATTTTGCAATCTATATCATGTTCTAAGATTTTAATATTTATTAGCCCCTGTCACTATCAGAGGAACTTCTGTCAAGGACTCAAGGTTCATGAAAATATCTATCTGCCCTTTCATTGTCAAGGTTCAAGAACTAAATATTTAAAATAAAAAAATCATTAAAACTATTTAAAATATTTGCACAATCATACACCAAGGGAATCAATTGGAGCCAATCAAACTAATTTTTGAATAAAACTTAAATTTTAAATCTATGGCAATTCAGAATAATTACCCCTTGATATGGCCAAGGAAGAAGAGAAAAGCCTGTTTCTATGGATCCACTGAGATATTTGTTTCAACTCAAATTATGTACTAATTATATGAAGAAAATATCACATTCATTCTAAATTCACCGACTCTATATTTTGACAGAAAATGTAATAGAAGAAACAATAGAAAGAAGAGATTTAAAAAAAAAAAAAAAAAAA